GAGGCAGCGCTGATGGAAACGCTCGAGGAGTCTCAGGTGATGATGGTACGTGACCCAGGACTCAGCGCCATACAGGAGAGTGGTAAGCACAACAGCTTTGTATACACTGACCTTTGTGTCTTTCTTGTGGTTGTTGTTGTTCCACACACGTCCGTATAGTCTGCTGAATGCACTGTTTGCCTTGGCCAGCCTGTTGTCAACTTCTTTGTCGATCTTGGCATCAGACAAGATCACGCAGCCCAAGTAGCTGAAATGGTGGACAGCCTTCAGTTCTGTTTGTTCGATGGAGATGCTTGGTGGATGGTACTCGTTTTGTGGTGCGGGCTGATGCAGAACTTCAGTCTTCTTCAAGCTGACTTCAAGCCCGAAGATCTGAGCAGTTTTTGCGAAACAGGACGTGATTCGCTGCATAGCTGCCTCTGTGTGAGCAAGGAGGGCGGCATCGTCAGCAAACAGCAGCTCCCGGATCAGTAGCTCCATGGTCTTTGTGTGGGCCTGCAGATGCCTAAGGTTGAACACGCTCCTGTCGAGACGAAAACGGATGTATACGCCATCAGCGTCGTCGAGGTCCTCTGTGGTCTGCTGGAGCATCATGCTGAACAAAATGGTGAACAGTGTGGGAGCAAGAACACAGCCCTGTTTCACACCGTTTGCAATAGGGAAGGTCGTTGCTATGTCTGACTTGTCCAAGCTGGTCTTCATGAAGCTGGATGATCATGGTGAGGAACTTCGGTGGGCAGCCTAGCTTTTTCAGAATTTTCCAAAGTCCCTGCCTGCTCACGGTATCAAATGCTTTTGTCAGATCCACAAAGGTGACATACAGCGCTTTGTTTTGTTCCCGGCACTTCTCCTGAATCTGCCTCAGGACAAACACCATGTCTGTGGTTCCCCGGTTGGCTCTGAAGCCACACTGTGTCCCTGAAGGTGATCTTCTGCTATAGTGGGTACCAGTTGATTCAGCAGTACCCTTGCGAGGATTTTGCCGGCGACAGACAGAAGTGTAATGCCACGATAATTGGAACAGTCTGACTTCTCCCCTTTGTTCTTGTACAGAGTGATGATGACTGCATCACAGAGGTCTTGAGGTAGTTTTCCCTGCTCCCAACAGCAGACGAAGAATTCATGGAGTTTGGTGTGCACTGCAGTGCTGGGCCTCCGTTCTTCCATACTTCAGGAGGGATGGCATCAACTCCTGCATCCCACAAACAACCAGTGAAAACTGAGTGGAAAAGCTGCAGGAGTTGATGCCATCCCTCCTGAAGTGTGGAAGGACGGAGGCCCAACAGCAGACGAAGAATTCATGGAGTTTGGTGTGCACTGCAGTGCTGGGCCTCCGTTCTTCCATACTTCAGAAGGGATGCCATCAACTCCTGCAGCTTTTCCACTCAGTTTTCACTGGTTGTTTGTGGGATGCAGTCAATCGCTGGTTCTTGGACTGAGCAGCTAGCATTGAAAAGGGTGTAGAAGTGTTCAGACCAGCGGTTAAGGATAGAATCCTTTTCAGTGAGCAGTTATTTTCCGTCTGCACTCCGCAGGGGGCTCAGGATTTGGTACGAGGGATCATATACCATGTATAGAGCTTCGTAGAATCCCCTGTAGTCACCAGTATTAGTGCAAAGCTGAGTTCTTACTGCGAGGTTGGTCCACCACTCGTTCTGAATCTCTCGAAACTTAAGCTGGAGGGTGCTGCATTCCAGGTGGAAGGCTGCTTTTTTATGCGGGCAGGACGGTTGGGCCTTGTGTGCTGATCTCTTCTTTGACAGCAGCTTCTGGACTTCTAAGTTGTTCTCATCGAACCAATACCTGTTTTGCTTCGTGGAGAACTTGAGGGTATCTTCAGATGTTTGCAGAAAAACAATTTTGATGCGGTCCCAGAGCACTTCTGGGGCCGGAGGCGAGTCGGCTAGGCAGATGGGTTCCTAACTAGCATTTTCGGGGAAAATAAAATCCTCTCCGGGTCAAAATGACCCGAACACAATGTAGGGGTTTCAGGTATGACAAATTATATTCATTTAAAACTCAAATCTACACTTGATGATGTTGCATGGCTTTCCTGAAAGAGAACACTACGTAGGGAGGGACCCTGTGAATCAGAACATGACTTGCGTTTATGAATAGGATTGAGAGAGAGAGAGGGGGGAAGAGTGGAAACTTGAGCCTGTTGACACTCAATTTTACACGACTGGCTGCAGAATATCAAATGAACTACACATCAACACAGCCACGGTGCTCTGAAGGGCAATATTACATAATGATGAACTAGAAGAAATTATCACTCTGTGGGATATAGACATAAGAGTCATTGTCCAAATGCACTAAATTCAGTTTGCTCTACATTTGGATCCATAATGAAGATCGAATCGACTGATCAATCTAGCATATCCTCAGACACATGAAAACAATGCAGGAATGTAATAATTATCAAACTGATTTTAGCACCGAAAGTGTGAAGTGATGTTTTAAAGCAATTTTTGTGTTGCAAATCTAAACAATCCCTTCAACTCACAATACTGTATCTGCTTCCAAGTATTAAACCTGGCAGAGAATCCATAATGACACAGGAGTCATTAGGTCTGTTGATTGCTCTACAGAGTCCTATTACAGCCAAGCTATATGAGTCCATTTTGCAGTACCAGCTGCACCCCATATTCAAACTCTGCTCCATGATGATGATCCCGTATTCCAGGATGATAATGTCTTCACACACACTGCTACACAAATACAAATGCCAGGACGAAATCAGACACCTCCGAAGGCCTCCCGAATCACCAGATCTAAACATTAATAAATCTGAGGAAGCGCTGAGCAGATGTCCAGCCTCTCTGTAGCTATTCAAATGCAATATTTTTAAGTTTATGTAAAACACTAAAAGCAACGAGTGTTTTACTGCAAAATTGCCTTTTAATGTTGTTATTATGCATGTAGACTCCATAGATCTATAAAACTACTACTTAGTGTCACCACAAAACAAATTAAGTTAACATAATCTAATAATATCATGTTTACCATTCAAGTAAACAAACAAAAAAAAAACTTTAGTTTAGTTTTATGAAGAAATCTCTTTGATACAGTGGCCCCAAAAAGTATTAGGCTGTTTAAGTCTTTAAAATCCATGATTTTTTTTCATTCCCTGATTGATTTTTTGGTGTTTCACAAAAGAAAATGTGTTAGGTAGATCATGAAACAAAATATATCCTGAGTGATGTATAATTTGATTGCAAAATAAGCCAATTTTAGGGTCTCTGTAAGAATAAGTGCTCCCATCAAATAGCTTTTACATGTACTAAGACCACTCATATTTTAGCTAAGAAAGGGAAGTGGAATGTGGGTAATATGTTGTTTGCACACATTCAATACTGAATAAAGTTGTTGATTTAGGGTACAATACAGTAGCGCCCCCTAAAGACTGTATTATGCAACTCCACTGACTGTTCTATAAAACTTTGAACTACAGACATTGTTCATATTTGAAGACCAGATTTGGTATCTATTAATTAAGCCTAAAATTGACGTTGCCATCGCTAATAGGGTAAGTAGACCATGTGAACTACTTTGTCACAACTACTTGCACAACATAAATCAAATACATTTAATAACAAGCGCTTATTTAATTTTCTCCTATAATCTTTGCCTTGACATGATAAGTAAGACTGGTTTATGGATATGGGTCTTGCTAGAGAATCATTTGGTTTCAGTCAGGCTTCAGTTCTACTAAACTATGGCAACATTTAACATTTAATCCTTAAAATGTACTATCTATTTCCATGCTATTACTTATTTTGTAGACACTAGTGTAGGCTACTTTTTTTTTTTTTTTTTTTTTTTTTTTTTTTTTTTGAAGCTATTATTTCTGGTGCTCCTGATGGCCAGTACATGCCTGATAATGTATCTAATAAATAAGTACCAATTTAATAGGCACTATCTAATGAATAAGTAGGCTGCCTACTAGCTAGTGTCTATTTAATAGGTAGCCTGCTACTAGTATCTAATCAATGAGTACCAGTAGCCTATCTAATAATTAAGAACTAATAAGTAGGGAGTATCTTTTAAAAAGGTAGCCTACATGCACCTAAAGAATAAGCACTAATAGCTATAAGTAGCCTACTAGTAGGGAATAGATGTTATCTAAAAAAAATAAGTACTATAGTAGCTTGAAAATAAAGTACGTTTTAAGGATTAAATGTTAAAACAGCTTGCCATAACTAAACAGCCTGCTTGCAGATAGCACATGTACGTCTGCAAGATGTCTGTTAAAGATCACTTCGTCTGGAAAGCATCTGCTGTTTACTAACATCTAAGACATCTTGATGTCAGTTTTACATTCATTCTAAATCATAAACATCTTAAAAACCTCTTCTAAACGTCTATTTGACATCTGACAGAAAACGTCCTATAGACGGATTGCAGATGAGCAAACACGTCTTCCAGATTCAAACAAGCACATCAAATAGGCTAAACGTCTCCGTGATGTTACGTGTGCTATCAATCCTGTCTACACAACCATTGAGGGCAATACAATAGAAGTTAATGGTCAGTGTCACCAAAACTATAGGCTATTGTTACCATACCAACAATCTTCAAAATATCTAATAAAGTCATACAGGTTCGAAGCGACATGGGTGAGCCGAAATTATGACAGATTTTTCATTTTTGGTGAACAAACTCTTTAAGAACGATTGGGTGTGCGACAGCGACCAGACAACGTTTTTCTTTCCTTTATTTTGGTTCTTTATAATATAGGCTAGGCGGCCTAATATAAAAATAGGCACATACGCTTGAATTAATACGGGTGGTCTTTGTAAATATTTAATAATTGTGTCATGACTGTAGCTATTTGAATGAATAGATGAAAGTGACTCTCATTGGAACTCCGTCAGCTGACACTTTCACACTCGCTCAGGCAGATGAACTTCTGTCTAACTGAGGTAAATAAAACTCTCTTTGTAACAGTGTATTATTCTACTACGACTTTACAGCACTTCACCATGCAGTGGAAGGGTGTGCGCAGCTCCGGGCGAATCGCCTGCTCGATGCGGGAATCGAACCCATGACAGAAGCGGAGTTGAATGCGGATGTCCTCCACGGCGCGCTGACACTGATAACGAACTGGAGTGTCGGGATGTGCTCGTTTTAAGTCAGACGAGCTTCTGCTAAATCTCCACATTACGGACGACGACTTGGGCTAATCGGTAAACTGGAGTGAATCAATTCGCGAGTGGAGCGTGTCCCCCTTCATATTAAGAGAAGAATTATAACTGCAGAAAAATGGGAAGTACAGTGATGGACTCCAAGAAAAAGGATTGTACTAAGAAATCCTCAAAGAAAAAGCGATCTCTGCACCTAAACATGCCAGTGAGTTTTTTTTTCCGCATGTACCTTGCTTCGACAATTCCGCGTGAGTGTTGCGTAGGCGCCTGGAACTGTCTTTAAAGTAGGCTAACTGTTACACTATGTGATCTCATTGTTCACATTTAAACGTTCTGATGCAATTTTGGAATGCTAGATGTTTTATTTTCAGAACGTCTTAATGTTACATGTTGTCATGTAATAAGTTATTGCAATTTTAAGCTAACATTTCAGTCGATGTGTTTTGAGTTTCTTTATTACTCCTGCGCTATTTATCTAATTACAATCGTGCGATATATATATTTTAGTATGAAATCAGTTCTGCTTGAGCTATTCAGAGCTGTCAAAACATGAGTTGCAAGGAACCTCCCCCGCCCCGATGCGAACGCGTGTTGCAAACATGAAAGCGTGTGTTGAACAGGCCTACGTTTGTTTGCGTACGACAACAAAACAGAGCGCACGCGCTAGTGTATTGCTAACGTTTTCAAGAGTATTGGCCGAAATACGCTTGAAATATTACTGTACATGGTATGGTTGCTGTTCCATGAGCCTGGCTGTTTAGAAAGCTGAAAGAGGAAGTGAGGAGGGAAACAGCTGTAAGAGAGTCGTGACTCATCATAGCGTTACATGCAGAAAATCTCTCTCTCTCTCTCTCTCTCTCTCTCTCTCTCTCTCTCTCTCTCTCTCTCTCTCTCTCTCTCTCTCTCTAATTCACATCGCGAAGGCCAGGTCTGTATATTATTCCTTTATGGAATGCCATTCAATGCCATCTACTCAAACCGAAGATAAGGGAAAATTATGATATTCTGTCTTTCTTGGAGATATTAAGTAAGTTCAGTACTGAAGCCATGGCACCTTGCGTTCTTTGTCCAAGTGATTTCCCATAGCATGCTTTGTATGCAACATCATCTATTGCTTATAGCTGACAATAGGCGAATATTTTCAGGCACCATGCTGCTAAGAAATTGTTTCAATCTTTATTTACTGCCCCTCATGGTCCATATATGATTATTTTTCACAGTGGAACATTAAAATACATTTTAAAGAATATTCACACAGCTCTTTTCCAAGATTTTTCTTAGTGATTAGTGGAATCCAGCTAAAAAAAACCACTGTTTGAATAAGTAGGCCTATGTTATGCTTGGTCATGACGCATGAGAGAATCAATGGCCTTTTGGCTTCAATGATGTCAAACCTGTAATGCTGACGCACCGTTTTTGAACTGAATTCAAACACAAATGAAAGATTCAACAGAGAGAATACTGTTAGTGTCTTATGTCATTTCTTTCTGTTCCTTGCACAAAGCTGTAGTATAGCTACAGAAGCTTAAGGATATAATACAGAAGTTCTAAGGACTATTTTTATGGGCATTTTATTGGACCTAATAGCAGTGAACTTTTGATAATGACAAAGAGCTGTGTAAAAATTCCTCCCTTTAAAGTTGTGGTGAATCTGAAGTAGCGACAGATCTTTTCTTCCTTGTTGTGACGTATATCAGACAGAAAATTGTTGAGTGGATTTTAAGATGTGGATGTTGTTGTCAAAAGTGGAGGCAGATGATCCTCATTTTTAAAAATGAAACATGCACGTATGCATTTAAGAAATATAAAGGGTGAAATTCCATTTCATGATAACTTTAAGCTTATCCTTTTTTGTTTCACAGAATAAATTACAGTACACAGGTTTGGTACAACATACGCAGGAGTAAATATTGACTGAGGTGATTTCCGATAGATTAGCATGCTGATCATTTATTTTTCAAGAAACAACAAATTTGTTTATTATATATTCCTGTACCTGTACTGTAGCCTAAAGATCACTTCATGTTTGTATATCATGACAACTCCCTTTGGGAAAAACAAACTGTAGCTCTTTTGTTTGTTTGTTTGTTTGTTTTTACAATAATGACCACTGCTTTAAGATGTGGGATTTCCATTTATTCATCTGCCTCTATATTCATAACATCTCTGTCCATATGAGAGGTGTGTCCTGGCTCCGCTCATAAAGGACTCTCTGTTCAAATGCTGCAGTTTGGGAGGGGGCTGGAAAGTAAGAAATCTAAAATCTTGGCCTTAAGACAAAACCATAAAATCCCTGGCACCCGAATAAAAATATTAGTAACTATGCGCATTAATGAATAACCTTGGGTAGAACGCTTCAGACGTCTGGAATGTAATATTTTGGTATTGTCAGAGGCGTATTTTGACTATGATTGGTATGTAGCGTTTGGTAGATTGGTTCTGGTCATTGTCTGTGAAGACAAAATTCCTACCCGGTTGCTATGTTTATTTCTGGTACTTGTTAATACAACTTGGTGAGGATGGCAAGCAATAGGAACCATCTTTGCATCATGTCAAAAAATGGATTAGTAGAACAGTTCATCATTTGGTGCAATAGTGTTCTGCAATTTCAGTATATGTAAATATAATACACATCTTTCATAGATGACATGTTAAGCACTGCAGTAAAGGAAGTAGTTTATCAATGCAATGTCAGAAAGTGAAATTTAGGTACTTTAGCATAACAATATAGTTACAATAGCTTATCATTTTTATTTTAAAAATGTCTGTATGCATTAAGAGGTTTGGTCTGGACCTTATAAGAGTTGGTTAAACTAGTTGGACAGGAGTAGCAAGTATTGTGAACTGATAATGAATTGAATATTATATTGAGCATGTAAATGCGTCATCGTGTGCTTTCAATTCAACGTAGCCGTGGCAACTTTTGGCAAGTTGGAGGACCTGAGGTAAACAAAGGGTGTAGCATAACTCACTGCTGAGTCAAGGTTATTAACAGTGTTGGGGAAAGTTACTCTTAAAAGTAATCCATTACAATACCTAAAAAAACGAATTGCTTAATTACTTTTTATTAATGCTTTACGTCGCTTTTTCTCATCTGGGCTGGGCTTGCTTGTTTGGTTTTTTAATAACAAAACATATTTGAGAAATGGACATGCCCTTTCACACCAAAAGTTGAAATGAATAAGCCTCAGGCTGAAGGATTCAAATTCACGCCTGTACAGTAGAGGACGCAGCTCAAACAAACCTTTCAGATGTGCTGCCATTCTGGATCGCATGAAGAATAGGATGCAGGAGAAAAAAGTTCAACACTCAAGTAATAAAAACAAAAGAATGGAACACAAATGTGTTCATTTTTGCTAATTATTCTAGTTGAATTGTATCATAGAGGTCAGCAGCAAAGACATTGGTTAATAAAGTGAGATTAAATACATAAAGTATATTTGTGTTATTCAGCATATTTAATCATTGCTGGTTTGGGTGATATTCAGAGTTTGCATTTCACTGATTTATTCATTTTGAGGAATACATTTGTGCAAGTGAGATGAGTAAATGCATGCTTACATTTAGTCTAAAAGTACATGTTTACATAACACACGCACACACAACACCTCTGCATCTCACTCCTGATTTCTCTCAACCAGGGACGTGCACAGGGGGGTTGCTCAGGTTGCCCGGGCAACTGCCCATATGCCCTTCTCACTCAAGTTGCCCTTCCGAGAAAAAAATTAAATCGTACAATGGATGCAGAATTTCACGTAGGCCTAGATAAAAAAAAAAAATCGCAAAGCCTCATTCACTTCCATTCGGGCACCGAAAGTGAAAGTCAGTATGAAGGGCAAACGCTGCACGCGACCATAGACTGCACGCGACCGGCGTAGGGCCACGCAAATTACTTAAGCGCCTCCATCTCGTGTCATAGTCATAGCGCGCCGTCAAATGTGTAGCTACAACATCCACAACAAAATGAAGCGAAACTATCCTTCTGGTCACGAAAAGTGGAAGAAGAAAAAAACCATGAGAGTGAATTGCGGGAACAACAATCAGGTAAACTTGTGTTTTCTCCTCTCTAAGTTTGATGTCAGCAACGTTTGATGTTTTTCGGTCTTGCTAACCTAGCTGGGCAGGCAGTGCATCTCTTGCATCACTTTGTGGCTGACAAAAGTGAGAGTAAAATACAATTATTTATTACGTTTGATTTTGATAAACGACAAAGTGCAACGGTGTTTGTTTACTGCAGCTCGGAAAACATAACCGCGTCGCGTGTGTTATCGTGCGTTCATATGCGCGTTGCCGAAATGAAACTCGCATTTTTCAAGCAGAAATATGTGGAGACCAGACATACTGTACAATACATGCACGTGAATGATGGCACTCCCAATCAAAGTACACATTATACTTTTAAAACAAGACATTATTAAGGCTAGATTATCTAGTCTCAGTGTAGTTAAAAACTCTAAACAACTGCACTAATTATGCAAGATAGAAAGCAATGTATTGACAATTTGACATTGATTGACTATTGATTTATAGGCTATATTGAATTAAAAATGTTGATTAGCTGGACATACTGGTCAAAATGGATGCACATCCCTCAGTAAATAATAACCATAAATCAAGAATTGCTTCAACATGCATAATAAAAAATTAAAAAATCATACTGATGCCGAAAATGCCCAGGCTGTAGAAAGAACCAAAGTTAATCCCAAAAGCCAAAGCTCAGGGTTATAATTTATTATTTCTTCTTATTTATGTTTACGTTAATATTCACTTACTTAATAATATTCACTTATTATCTTAACATTCTATAGAAAATACTCTATTCAATAAATATTGTGTGTTTGAACCTCATTCTGTTCTATATTGTTGTACTTATTCTTTGACTGTTTTGTTTAAAGGAGGGAGGATTGTATGGGAGCGCTGAAGTGTCAGGTGTGACTGTGGCAATGGCAAATGGTTTACATAGCTCACGACATCACGGGTCAGGTAGAGGGCTCCTTAGCAGAATTTTGCTTAGGGCCCCAGGGAGGTCAGGATCGGCACTGGGTGTAGCAGTCGATTCTGTTCCTTACCGGAATTCCTGTTCCCTTTACGCAATCATACTACAAATCATGCGTAGTTGCCCAGATGAGCAAAAAGCACAATTGAATGTACGGGAAGCCAAAAGGTTAAAAAAGGATTGTATTTTTTCCGAAATCTAAGCGTTTTTTTATTTTTATTAGAAGCGAGTTTTTCCCCATCTGTCAATTCAATCCAGATTATTTATTTAAAAAAAATATAAAAAAAATTTATTAAAAAACAATAATATGAGGAACTCTTTTTCTCATGTGTATTTTGGTGACATTTAACATATTGTTAATAGCCTACATTTTGTATACTGTTTACAAAGTTGTATATCATAAATCTGTCATCTTTGACGTTTGCAATCTTTATAAATAATAATAAGACCATAATATGAGGCATTGCGTTTGGACATAAACACGATCAGATAAGGCAATTTGTATGGGCAAAATTCAACTGAATATATTCCTTCATATAGCCCGTGAGTTTTGGGGGTAGTGCCCTTTTTTCAGGTCAGAGCAACTGCCCCACAAAATTCCTGTGCACGTCCCTGCTCTCAACATGCGGACAGGAGAGCTGTCAGTCAATAAATGGGAAATCAAAGTAAGTTGTATTACTTATTTGAAAAAATAACTTTTGTAAATTTAAAAGTAATGCGTTACTTTAGTTACTTGAAAAAAGTAATCTTCTGTTACTCACGTTACTTGTAATACGTTACCCCCAACACTGGTTATTTCAGCCAAATACGTAGCTTAGTTAGTACTTTTATATACTATTGGGAATTTGAATGATTGTTGCTTTTTGTATGCAAAACTATTTGCATTTAGATTTTCTCAGTTTTCCGAGTTGCCTCACTTTTACTAAATCATTCTTGGTATGAATGCAGAACATATGTTAGTGCCATAATACATCTTTGTGTACATTGTTTGAAACGCATTGGGTCATTCTTTTGTGGAAGTGAAACATTTAAAAACCAATTGTGTTTGAGCTACGCTTTGTTCAGAGTCTACTCTTTTAAGAATGTTGAATAAGTGTTGAACAGTTGCCTAAAACATGTCTAAGCTTTGGCATGACCCCCCACAGTGAGTTTTTTTTCCCCAAGCCCAACAAAAAGGCATGGTGCCACAAAACCAACCAATGTTTGATCCTGTTCCCAGTCTGCCTTCATTGAATAAAAGATTAGAGTCCATTTTGTCTTTCTTTATGAGTATAAGAAATGCCAGGCAGAGCAATGTATGCTTGCCGAGCGTCTCACTTACATAGTGTTAAATCATATCTTATATGGCTGTTTATTCCTAATTTTGTACATTATTTAACATCATCTGCTTAATAATGAGGTTAACGATTGCAAAATCACATTGATTCTGTTAACCTTCAATGATTGTTTCTTCATTCGTTCACTATTTTCTAAAGTCATTGATTTAAAATACTTTTTTTTCTCTTTAAAAGACCATGTTTTGAGTCATTATCGTTAACTCTTATGTTTTGTCTTTTAACAGGATTTGAGCACATTTGCATCCTCTCTTATGGACGGAGAGACTGACAGATCAGATAAAGATGAAATACAAAAGGTAAAATACACAAAATGGCAATCTTTTACCAGTTTTTGTTCATGTAGAGCGTTCCAAATCATTAATTTCAGCATGCTGCCTAACTGGATAAAGCTGCTGTATGTGGAGAGTAGAGAGCAAAACTAGGTCTGGAACAGAGCCTTTGCATGTGCGATTTGAAGGAATTATATGTGGATTGTTACATGATGAGTTATATTACACATAAATAGTACTGACTTGTCCAAACGTGTACTTTGGTGGTAAAAAAAAAAAAAAAAAATTGTGCCGGTGTTGCCCACACTAGTTTTGTTGTTAGATTGACATAGACCGGTTGGCCTGAAACGTTAGGGAAACCTGCTCATGAATAAAAGGTGAGGCAAACTTTCTTTTCACATGCTGTTCTTTCAATTTCATACTCAACAATTGAAATGCTGTCTCTACGTCTACGGCTATGGATGATGATTTTGCACAGTAAGGGAAAAGAACTATTCCAGCACTTAAATGTGCCAGAATTACTAAGTGAAGTATATAAATGGCAGTATTTGTAATAGGTCAGAGTGAAATGGTCATGCACAAGTAGTTCTGCATTATTTAGCACCATATTACAGCTAACTCTTTATATATTTTTATATTTATTTACCTGGTTGATATAATACATGTCTAATTGTAAACTAACTGTGCCAAATATACAGTGTCTATAAAAAATGATTCACCCCGCCTTGGACGTTTTCACGTTTTATTATTTGAATTACAGCATCTAATATTTATATCTCACCCACTCAGAGCTAAGCTTGAAGGTGACGCCTACCCTTCCCCTTATAATCAAAGGCCAAGCAAAGCTGGGCCAATGAAAACAGCCTGTGAAGCAACCGCAGCCTAGTGAATGGGCACATTAGCAAATAAACAAAAAAGTGTTTGCCAAAGAGTTGAAGGTCAGTACTTTGAAATACTAACTATTTAGGGCACTAGACGCACTGCCGGCTTAACTTGAAACTGATTGTTCATTGTGCAATGAGGTTTGAGAAAACATGCTTGCTTTCAGGTTGCCTTTGTGTACTAAGATCAGCCACACAGAACAGCTAAACTTTGAAATAGTTAATATACTGATATTTGCATAGTTTTTTGTTTTGTTTTTACTCTCTTAATTCTCACAAAATTGTAAATGTATAAATACTGAAATGCAAATACCTTATATCATTTTTTGAGAATTAAGAAAGTAAAAACAAAACAAAAAAACTATATTAACTATTTCAAAGTTTAGCTGTTCTGTGTGGCTGATCTTAGTACACAAATTTATACTTTGGCAACTTAAGAAATATTTGCCAAAGTTGCCAAAGGATAGTTAATAAACTAATCTATAAGTAATAATAAGTCAGTACACTTAATATTACAAGATTGTTTTGAAGCCTTGAGGTAACTACACTATCCCTTCTCCAATTCTTGTTGAAAATATTTCTCCTTCAGCGTGTGTTGTGCAATGTTTTGGCTTTGTCTTGCTATTTTCAAGTAGTATGCTGATGTAGTGATATTCTCATCCTGTTTCACCCTGGTATCACATCAATGCATTGAAGTACTTGCACTTGCTTCAACTTCATGGCAAAGCTCTCTGTTCCTGCCTGATTCAAAAGTCTCAAACTTCAAAACTACTGGGCAGATACAGCTGACGTTTCAGGAGATTCCATGTCGATTGTCCGTTATTGAGCTGGAGATACCAGCTAGATAGATAGGTTATATACAAAATGAAGTGTGTATAGTGTATATTGCGTCATTTGGGACATAACTACAATCTATTTTCTCTTATAACTTCAAAAACTCTAAAAGTTAATTTAATGTAAATATTTGCTTTTGTCCCACAGGGTGACAGGAGTGACTCAGCTAGCCCATGTTTGAGGTCTCCTGCCAGTCAGCCCTGTACCCCAGTTTCAGCCCCCATTTTTCCCAGGACCAGTCCAGGATCTCCTAAAACCATCTTCCCACGTCCACTATCTTCTCACCTGGACTCACCTCCCAAATCTCCCCGCCGTCTCAGTTTAAGTGGTATCTTCCGCTCCTCGTCCAGCTCAGCCCCTGCCAGCATCAAGCTCTTCTCCAGATCTAGAAAAAGTGAGACACAAGTCTACTCATTTAATATTTTCAATTGATTTGAACCCATATTCTTTTCCATTATTAGAAAAAACTGCAAATTCCAGGCTTGGTGAATAATGAAACGGTTAATGCAGTATAATATCCAGGCCCTGTTTTTAGGTTGTTTTATTATTTAGCTGATGAACTTAGCTGTACCTGAGCCAATTATATTATATTAAATTATTCAAAATTATTGCACAGTCATATATTCTGTAGTCACTACCTTACAGTGGTTTTGTGTCTTAGCTGTTATGTATCTTGTGTATTGAGTAGGGATGGATTTTAAGATTCTGATTCCAAATCTGCTTATCGATTCCTATTCCTAATTTCGATTCCCAAAAAAAACCCGTAGATATCATTCACATATATTCTAAGTCTTATTGCAAAACATTTACTTGTGGCTAAATACTGTACCATGAACAAAAATCAACAGGCTAAAGAACACTTACACAAGGATTTAAAAATAGCAAAAACAACTAGCCTAACTAATATCAATTTCAAGCATTATTAAAGGCAAGTAAGCACTCAGTAATTAAAAGAGAACAAATAAACAAATAAGCTATTGCACAAATAAATACAATATACTGGTACACATGCGTTTTCTTTGTCAACTGTTTATGTTCACTTAAGACATAACCGACTGTGTTTACAAGCATATTTTGACATATTTTTGTGTATGTTTGTCCGTTCAAGTGCAAAAAGGGAAGAGAACTCAGTTCAGTATCGCGGACTATTCAGTATTAGAGGCGGCTTTCTGTGCGCACGTTTGTGTGTGCAGCACAGGAAACAGCACGCGGGTCGCTTGTGCCCAGATGGTTTAAAGTCATATTTAAATGCACACCAAGGAATCGATAATCGAAATTGTATTTTTATAACAAGTATCTGATTCCTGACCGATTTTCAATTCCCAACCCTAGTATTGACCAATCAGTATCCAGGACCAGAACTATCCATTTTATAAATACAAATTGTTATCTATTTTATTTATATTCTTTTTACCCTCATAAAACATATCAAATTATGGCCATCAGGAGTTGAAGCACTGTATGAAGTATTTAGGTCGCAAGTGAGAGTAAATGTATTCATGTAAATGATCTGATGCTCACTGCAGTCTCAGCTGTCTCTATGAGCATATCAAAGCATGCTGTAGATCAAGACCAAAACAGGTTACACTTTATTTCGATTGTCCACTTTAGACATTCTACTAATTTAGAGTAGTAAGTTCTAGTAACTTTGCAACTGCATGTCAACTTATTCTACTAACCTGAACCCTAACCTAACAGTCTACTAATACTCTAAACAGAGTTACGGTAGTTGACAATCATGTAGTTGACAAGTTACTTATAGTTAGTTGAATGTCTCAAGTGGACCATCAAAATAAAGTGTAACCCAAAAACAAAATCAGCATGGTAAGAATTCAAACAGCAACTTCCTCAGTAGTCGATTTTCTCTGTATACTGATCATAGACCTGTTTTGCATCTCTTCTTTTGTTATAATGGTTTTGGGCAAGCTGATCGTGCATCCGTGTCAATGGGGAATTTTAACAAGAGTTTGACTTCCTGTTAACCTGCTTTCAAAAACATCCGAACAGGAAGTGGTTAGATCATGATTTGGGTTTTCTAGCTTTTGATTTTTGAGCACATGCTATTAGGCCAAATTGTGCAAATTGAATATGCCCATTAAGCAGTTTCTTAGATAATAGATAACAGACATGGGCCCACATTACTGTTTCTCAAGTCAGAGTCATGTCGTGGCAAAAAGAAAGACATTACAAAGTGATAATTGAAGTGATAGGTATAGAACTATACCCCCAAATTAAAATGGTCATAATTTGCCCACCCTCATTTCTTTCTATACTTGACTTTCTTTCTGTGGAACACAAAAGATGATACTGTAAAAAAAAAAAGTTTTTTTGTTGTTGTTGAAAATCTGTTGGAAATGGAAAATGAAATTCAGTTGTTTGAACCCCAACATTCTTCAAAATATATTTTGTGTTCAGCAGAAGGAAGTCAGATTCTGAAAACCACAAAGGGGGAGTAAATGACAGAATTTTCAACCCAAACCTAACCCTAACTATTACTTTGAGAGTCTTACTTGTTTTTAACATTTATGTTAGTATCTTGCAGCTTTACGTAACTAATTTAAAGGATTAGTTCACCTCAAAATGAAAATTTCCTGATAATTTACTCACCCCAATGCCATCCAAGATGTTCATGTCTTTCTTTCTTCAGTGGAAAAGAAATTAAGTTTTTTGAGGAAAACATTTCAGGATTTTTCTCCACACAATGGACTTCGAGCGCACCCAACATGTTGAAGTCCAAATCAATGCAGTTTCAAAGGGCTTTGAAGTGCTTCAAACGGCTCTGCACGATCCCAGCTGAGGAATAGGGTCTTATCTAGCGAAACGATCGTTCATTTAAAAAAAATAAAAAAACATTTATATACTCTTTAACCACAATTGTTCGTCTTGTGCTGGTCTGCGACGCGCCAGGGATTACGTCATCACGTTGGAAACGTCACGCGTCACGTCATCCATTTAAGTTATTTGTCTGTGTACTCTGGTTCAAAAAGGCAGGGAAGGGCGAAAAATTCCATCTCATTTTCTCCCGTTTTCTAATCCAACTTCAAAATCGTCTGACATCTTTGTTTTATTTTATTATTATTCTTTCTTTTTTTTTAATTCGGGACGTTTCCAACGTGATGACGTAATCCCTGGCGCGTCGCAGACCAGCACAAGACGAACAATTGTGGTTAAAAAGTATATTTATGAATGTTTTTTTTGTTTTGTTTTTAAATGACTGATCGTTTCGCTAGATAAGACCCCATTCCTCAGCTGGGATCGTGCTGAGCCGTTTGAAGCACTTCAAAGCCCTTTGAAACTGCATTGATTTGGACTTTAAAAGACCCACTCCGATGAAAATAATGTTTTTCTAGGTGTTAACATGTTCTTGTGGCATTTTTCTGATGTTAGAGGACATACCTTGAGAAAAATAAGCTCAAAGTTGTATTTCTGAGTATTTCTACATTCAAATAGCTGTGTATCAGTAGCAGACGCTAAAATGCCGGCTAAAATAGACTGGAGTTGTGACGTAGTAACTCCATGGGCGTCTCCACACGCGACGTCTTGGAGTGAAATAATGATCGGTGATCGGTGATAACTTTGATTAACTTCGGATAATAATAATTAACGTGTATATAATACTGTTGTTGCCCCACCGGTATTGGGGGTGTAAGCTAGCGGGAGAGACAGAGCTCTCAGCAACGGGCAGGGGAGGGTCGTCTCCGTGCCAACGGCTCCGCCCACAACGCAGAGGCGAATTGCTAATGAGCTACTGCCGCTCTGCTGAAGCGAAGTCCCAGAAAACGGCACAGGTTTTGTGATTTTGGCTAAAAATGGCATAATCATAATTTAAAGACCACTGGGAATGTTTAAAAATATGTTTAAAAATGTCCGCTCAAAATATGATCGGAGTGGGACTTTAACATGTTGGTAGCGCTTGTTTTCCTCAAACTTAATTTCTTTTCCACTGAAGAAAGAAAGACATGAACATATTGGATGGCATTGGGGTGAGTAAATTATCAGGAAATTTTAATTTTGAAGTGAACTAATCCTTTAATTTATGTAACTAACATCTACAACACAAGTGGTTAGTCTTAAAGGTGCAATGTGTAAAAATTTGGAGTATCAATTAACAGAAATGCAATATGACATCCATAACTATGTTTTCAGAGGTGTATAAAGAACTTACTTAATAAACCGTAATGTTTTTATTACCTTAGAATGAGACATTTATTTCTACATAACCGCGGGCACCCACTTCTATGAAGGTCGACATATTGTGACGTCATGTTTCTACCTTAGTCGACAGCGAACAAACAGCGCTACAGAGCGCGTTCCGTCACTACCTTGAAAGAGAAGCAGCAGAAAGCTAGAAGCTAGCGATAAACACCGTGAGTAGTGACTTTTCCCTTGTCAGTGGTGTAAAATATGTAGTTGGATTGTTTCATGTAACTTAGTTCTTCTCCCTCGCTGTGTTATGGCTTTGCTATGTGGGGATAAATGTGCTGGTTACGTTCGTGAGACAGCTGATACTCTTGTCATTGACCGTAAAACAGTATGTTACAGGAATCACCAACCCGTCGTTCTTGGAGGCATTTTAAGTCGATCGCGAAGAGTTTTCAAAATCAGAGAAAAAAAGCCTATTGTGTGTAGTAAATGGTGTCTAGGGGATGCGGAGGCGCGCACGCACTGTTACAATCATGTCATTTTTGCCGCGCGCACCTTTGGGCTTATGCGGACGGGTCGAGTTTAAACAAGGCTTTACGCTTTAACCAGCTCAGCCACAGTAACAGCTCATATTAGCCAGCTAAACTTTTACTACCCTGTTAGAAAAAATATATTTGCATAGTTTCATGTGGTTCTTCTCCCTCGCTGTATTATGGGTTTGCTATGTGGGGAGAAATGTGCTGGTTACGTTCGTGAGACAATCAGCTGATTACTATTATTATATTATATATTAAGACCCTTGATCCTCACCTGACTATGGCTTTGTTAAGTTTATCCATGATGTGGTTTATAATGGACTGTGGTACAGTGACAATGTTACACACTCTTGGCTTACTCTGGCTATTCTCTGCTGTCTCAGACGACGATATGTTTGTCCCGTTTTAGCCACCGTAGCTTCTTCGAAAGGGAGGGGTGAGCAGTGGGCTGAGCCATTAGTGCAACTCGCAACCGAACCGCTAGATGTCGCTAAAAATCACACACTGCACCTTTAAATGCGCTGTAAGCGATTTTTGAGAAACAGTCAACAAATCAAATGCTTTAACATTAATAGTGTGGCAGAAAAAACACAGCACCTTCTCAGTCTGGTTTCAAGTGTTAGTTCCAAAAATCTGCTGACAGACTGTGCACAATGATTTTCTTAACCATGATATCTGTGTGTTGTTACTTGTTAATAAAAATAAAAATACCCTA